AAATTAGAGCCAGGTGAGAGAAATGACGTTCTGATCATTCAGGAAGCATGCTGAAAGCAGAAGGTGGTAGCGTGTATACTTTATGTGACTTGGTCAAAATATCCTAGGGTAGTTACTGTCAAATGACAAATCATTGTCAGAATACCAGAATCACCCCTTACCCTATAATTCAGCTGGAAATGGGCCTGCTATAGGAGTTCTGGGTAATAACAAATGGTTATTTGCACTTAGCAGCCATAATTAAGAGATGGTGGGTGAAGCGCCGAAGTTCAGTAGGATGATGCTCCACAGTATTATCATATCTGCTGTCACTGTCTGAACTCAGACCTGCATTAGTAGTGCTACCGCAATAATTTTCTGTCTGGCGATGGTGTCTATAATTTCTCCCTTCTTCAAACTCTCCCCATCAAGTGCCAGGAGAATCTCTACAAGTCTGATAAAGTCACTTCCCTGCTAAACAACGTTCAGGTCTCAGAATTGACAGGAGATTTAATATACTACCTCTTGGGATGGCATTCAAGGTTTTTTAGCGTCTGATCCCAACCTTCACATTGTCTTTATTATTTTTTAAAGCATTTTATTTATTTATTTGATGGAGAGAGAGAGAGCACACACAAGCAGGGGGAGCCGCAGAGGGAGAGGGAGAAGCAGCTTCCTGCTGAGCAGGGAGCCTAATGCGGGGCTCGATCCCAGGACCCTGGGATCATGACCTGAGCCGAAGGCAAACGCTCAACTGACTAAGCCACCCAGGCACTCTTACCTTTAGAAGTTCATAAAGCTAACTGTTAGCCAATAAGCTAGAGATTTATCATCCACATCCATTAGGAACAACTTAGGTTTTCGTGCTGTATTACCTGTTTTCATCTCCATCACATGATTCCGTTAGTCCTAAGAGGCAAGATGTGGCAAGTATTCTATTTTATAGATTGGAAAACTGAGACCACCCAGAGAGAGTAAATAATTTGCACAGGACCTAAAAAGCAAGTTCTCCTATGTCTACTCGTCTCTCTCTCTGTGTCTTTTTTTTCATTTTCTTCTCTTACACATTGCTCTGGCTCACTCACAGATCTCGACCATTTGCTTCACGCACTACCAGTTTCTGGAAAGCAGACTTTACAACATCGGAAGGCTTAAGATGGCGTTTACAAAAATGGAGAAGCTTGGGGTAAGTCTGCTCAGATGTGTTTTATGAGGTGCCCTTAAAAATCAGGTTTCACATAAGTTCCTGAATTTCTGGCTTGTCATGAAAGATCTGAAGGTCTGGCAACATTGTGCCCACATTCCCACATAAGCAGTATCGGCTTGAGCTGAGTAGAAGCCGACCCTTTTGGCCAGGGGTTGAGCTTGAGTTTTCCCCAGCTGCTACCACTTCATAATGCCTTAAGCCTGCTCTTCTTTACTCATCTATATTACCCGCCTGGCCCTAGTAACATTTGAATTTGCAAGCCTTGGTTTAAAGAAAGAGAAAGAAAAAAAAAACCCACCTATTTTTTAAAGATAAGATGAAGCATATTAATTGAAGAAATTGTATGTGATTATTATGTTTGAAGAAAGTCTTTGTTGTTTGGTATTAAGATTCGAGTTTCCCAAGGAGAGTTGTTGATATTGTTTTGGTTTTATTTCTTATTTTTGACAACAAAGCAATTTGACCCAGAACTCTTAGTGACAGTCCTTTTGGATGAAAATCTTTACAGGGCCTTTTAATTAGGAATTGACAGGGTGATTAACTTATAATTCACAAAAATAAATGTGGAAAAGAGAAGTACAGGTCAATTTCTAGCTGTGTTAAACTGTAAGGACAGCAGCATTGGCAAGTGATTGTTCCTTTTTAACAGCTTTTCTAATTTTTCTTAATTGGATCCTTTGTTTTCTAATTGGATGGGGAGAACCATCATATGGCTTTCAATTACTAGCTGTGGCATGGTGATCCTGTTATGTGGCACACGCTAAGTAAAGTCACACTCTCAACATATAGGACAAAACAAATACCATCTCCACAAAGTTTTTTGTATTAGTGCGAAAGGGGGGCAATCTTCCACATCCTGGGTAGGTAAATCCATGCTGAAATGGGATGTACCAGCTAGCTGGCTTTTCCAGGGAGACGGTTTTGGACTTGGGTTTCCATTCTATAGACTAAGTTACCAGTTATAATATCTGAAAATATTTAGTCATCATGATATAGAAATGCTCCTAAGGATACGAGATTATCATTGCATGATGGAACATGTTAGAAAGTGTACACATGCATACATGCACACATACAAACACATACAGGAGAATATGCCAGTGTTCTCAAGGTATTTGTTTTCTTGTGTCCACTGGTGAATTGAGATATTCTTTTTTTAAGAAACAAAGTGTTTCTATGGCTTTCTTATTTTACAACTCCCACTGGATCTCTTTTCCCTACTGCATACATATTTTATCATGTCCTATGTCTAACCCCAACATTGTTCTCTAGCTCTATCCTCCCAAGTTGCTAGGCATGCACTTCATCCTCTGTTCCCTGAGCTTCTCTCTTTACCTTGGAGATAGTGGGTCTTTCATGACTCTGTTCACGCCATCCCTGCTGCCCAGTATGTCTTCTACATTTTTCTTTGGTTAATCTTATTTCACTCGTCAAAATTAGATTAAAAAGGTTACCTTCCCAGTGAAACTTCACCTGACTCACCCCAGGCACAACTTGTTATTTGGTTCTCTGTCAATGACTGAACTTTGTTAATGTTTCTGTTCTAGCTTCTGCTTGTTCATTCATTCAGAATGCTTTTCGAACATCTCTATGTATAGCTGCTGAACTGAACCCTGGGGCAACATGGTTATTAAGGTGGCTGAGGTCCCTGATCTTATATTAATCTTTAGATGATTTTCTCTCTTATTGGACTGTGGAACTTACAGAGGGTGGGAATTTGCCTTATTTTATATTTGTATTGCTCCTGCCTAGACTTGCAGCTGGCTTAAAGAGGTGATTAAGAAGTGCTCATTTTTTTATGTCTTCTTGATGAAGAATATTGATCAGTTTTATAAAATCTAACCCCTTGGTGGGTCAACCTGGTACACCTACATTCTCGGCTTTTAAACTTGGAATAGTTGTTATGACCATCATTACTGTCTTTGGAATGTTCTGGAATCTAATGACCTTTTGGTGTAACCCTTTTTATGCCTTGGTGTGTGCAAGTCAGATCCTCTGATGGGCGCTTTGCCTCAGTACTGTGGAATGGTCTTGTCCCCGAGAGGAACACAGTCTCTGATTAAATGCCCTTAGCAGGCAGGGATGGGACACAGCTGGGTTTGAATCAGACTAAATCCCATCAGATGGAAAATCAAGAAGCTGGTGCTTTTGAAGATTATAAATCTGGAAAGCAGCAGAGATGAGGGGCTATGAGTCCCTGCTCAAAGCAGGTAGTGCCACTTCTCGTTGGCTATTAGTGCTGCTTCCTTCTGGCTGATGCTCCCAGAATAACTTTAAAGATGGACATGGGAAGGGATACGATTTAAATGCGGGGACCACTAAACCCACTCTCCCCCCTTCAAAAAGGGAAGTAATTAAAATCTTGGAGAGATATAATTCAGAATATGGAATGTCATGGAAATGAGGAGGACTTGAAATAGAATGCCAGAAACTCTTATTTCATGTCTCCATGTTTTTCTGAAAGGCATCGGTACCACTTTACATATAAGAGTTTAAGGCTGGCAAGCCTATTAGCTCACTGTTACCAGTGACTTTAGTTCATGGGGTTCTGCCTCATGTGACTTGCCTTGGCTTCATGGAATGTGTATACATCCCACTTGATGAAACCACTCTTCAGCATTCATTGTGGTTGCTTTTCTGTTCTTGGCCAAGAGCCGACTTACTGGTGCCATTGCCAAGATGAAGACATTCAAGAGGGGCAAGGTAACTTCTTTCTTGGGCAGCTCCGTGGATGCTGGAGCTGCCAGCACATCTGGCTATCTCTTGAACAGACTCTCTCCCTGTACCGTATACCCCATCTATGTAGACAGCCTATGCCGCTGAGCACATTATTGCTCAGTGTTTGCTTTTGAATCCATGCTTCACACATTTTATTTACATGCTTTATTCCTCATTTTATGAACAAATCGATAACTAGACTTACTCTTTATTGCACTGGATTAATTTTATTTATTCCTTTTGAATTTGATTAAAAAGCTGTCAAACAGAAGTCTACATTTTTATCAGCAGAATACTTTCACAAAACTGGGTATGAGATGTGTTCAGCTAGAACATACTTTTCAAAAATAAAACATGTTTGATGTAGTCTAGACAGTTACCCTTTTGTTTATCCATGACAACTGAAACTAACAATCAAATGGATAAAGCAATCCAAGTCTAGTCAAGTAATCCTTAGGGCATATAAAAAAAGGGCTTTTTAAAAAGTTCTTTCTAGATGGATTTAATATAATTCACCAATAAAGCATCCTCAGAAGCATAATAAAAATTCTACATAAAATGACATAGCCAGGGCATAGGAAGATATACAGTTTGATGAAGATTCAAAATGGATGCTAACATTAAAAATGAGCGGTCATGCAGTTCCTATATAATATAAAGATCAAAATTCTAGGACACTAATTTTGCTTCTAATTTACAAGACAGTATGTTTATGGGACTGCAAATAGTGTGTCTGTATATACGTGTGTGTGTGTGTGTGTGTGTAAAATCTTCAGTGGCAAATGTTTTGAACTGTCATTTCTCTTCAGAAAAATTGCCATTCAACATGTTGTATTTGTACATTTCACCATATAGCATTGAGGATAGCTGGGCTGTATTTTCTTTTTGCACATGCAAAAATGTTCCTGAGAGGTGAAATATATTTATTTTAGTGGAGAACCTGATCTTTTTTGTCCTATTTAAAAATGGTTAATTTCTGACTTCTTCCCTCTTTTGGTTCTACTCATGTACAAGTAAGAGTATGGGAACATGCCCGAGGCCACCAAGGTAGTAAACAGGCTCACCTGTGTGCACACATACCCATATTGACAAAACTCACACTCACACAATTACACACCCAATGCCTGGGAGCAGTTTTAAAACTGTCTTTTGGATATGTGCTGTGCTCTGCACATTATTTTATAGTCTGGAGCATGCATAATGAATGCCTAGAAGTGCTAGAAGGAATAGCAATGAAGGGGTTAATGTAGAACACATATAGGCAAATATTGTCAACTATTTTATTCAAATGTTTGGAACTTAAACACAAAATTATCATTAAGTTTTCACAAAATGAGGCATCTGTCGCTTGAAAGGAAAAAAATATTTCAGAAATATGTTTACAGAAATGTAAAAATATTAGGCATCGAGACAGATGTGAACATATTCAGTCACTTGTCTTGTCTGTCAGTCTTCCTCTGAGCCGAAGATCTTATTGTACTCACTCAGCATGAGCTCAGCTATCTGGTTTTGGTATACCATATGTATTGCCATGTTCCCCATTTCATCTTCAGCTCGCAGAAGGGTGGGTCCAAATACAATCCCTAGGCTTTGAGTGGACATGAGGTTCTTGGAGGCTTTGGCCACAATCCTGCAGGGGGAGGAAAAGACAGAAGATTCTATGAGTTTGAAGTTAAATTGTGGCTACCTTTGATTTGTAAAATTCTGTGTCCTTGAATTCTTTTTCCTTTTTCAATTTCAATTTAAAGAAAGAAAGTAAGGGCAGTGATTGGCTTTGGCAAACCAGAGAATGAAACATAGGCAAAACATTTTTCTAGTTCTAGAAAAACAGTAACTTTACCATGACTTTTTCAAATCTACTATTTGTGCTTCATTGTATGAAAATAGAACCTATGACTCTGGGGAGAAGGATTCATTGCCTTGTCCAACTTTTTGTCCCTGTAGTACTTGGGCACTTTGAGTGCTCAATAAATGTGGAATGAATGAATAAATAAACAGCAAAAATTACTGTGGAAAGTTAACAAGATTCAGCCTTTGAAAGGTTTATAATCAATGGAAGAAACAGGTGAGACATGCCTAAAATATATAAGAATCTAAACACAATAAATAGAATAGTATATACATAGTTAATGATAAAAGGTTGACATAGACCAAAAAAAAATTAATAAGTTTTTAGTGATTGGAGTGAGAAAAGTGTTCTTGACAAATGCTAACTGCAAGATGTTTTGTAGAGAAGGTTGGTTCTGAGACATTTAGGTGTATGGCAAAATTCTGAATGTCTCCATTCATTTTGGACATCCCATCTAGCTCACACCTCAATAAAATATGGAATCCTGTAGAATTTGCAGAGGAAAAGAGTCCCATTGGAATCGAAGACATCTTTGCTTGTGTGAGGACTATATGGGGAGTTGGAATACCAATGAAACATTAGGATATGGTTTTATTAATGGTAATGCCTTGCCTGCTTCAATACAGGACTCTTAAAAGGAAGATAAAGCCCCATCCTAGATACTGAGACTTTTAAACAATGATGCTTATTCTTACCATTGAAGCCTACTTCGTTTTATATTAACATTAGGAAGGTGAGGTTTTAGTGATGTTAAGGAAATAGGATTAGCATATGGAAGGACAGGGTGCTAAGAATTCTAAACTCTACACTCCACCAGACATCTGTACCCAAGAGAACTATGAGTGTAGAGAATAATAATGAGGCAAAGGAATTTATTGCAAGGCCATGGGGTCTCCATCTCAGAGCCTATTGTGGAACATTGGAATGCTGGACTTAAGAGGACTCTTTGTTTGATCCTCTATCAGAGGGGGCAGGAAGACTTGTTTTATTTCCATCTCTTCACGCACCCAGATCTCTCAAGAACCACTTCTGTGACCAAGAAGCCATGCCTTCTCTCTCCTGAATGAGACTGAGAAGGACCAAAGCCATTTATTTATGACCCCCCCACAGAACAAGTTCATGGCCAGCAAATGCCCTTGACCTAATCACTACAAAAGAAAAATCAAGTGTTCTAAGCAATGGTATTATCTCATTTAATCCTCATAATAATCCCACAAGGTGGCTTCTGTTATTCAGCCCGTTTTACAAGTGAGAATACTGAGGCCAAGAGAGGTGAAGCGCCCGATGTCACACAGAGCTGAGGTGCAAACCCATGGAGTCTGGTTCCAGTGCCCTTGGGAGCATCATTGCCGTGGTGTGTGTGTTAGGACTCCTATCCTTAATTACCAGGCTGGTTTTTCATTCTGTCACCTTCCATAGATTATAAGATCCTTCCATAGAGGGTCTGAATTTGTATTCCTTACTTCAGAATTGTGATTGACAGCCTGATTCTAATAGATTTATTGTGCACAAAATGAGTTTAAAATTCGGACTGAATATTCAAGACATTCTGCCTCCCATTTTTCACTTTTTTCTGCTTTATGAGGAGAGCATTTGTACCTATGAGCGCAGTTGACTTGGCTACATTCTGGAAGGGGTCCTCATATTTTAGAGTGTCAGTGAGTTATCAGAAAGTTTAAAGTTTCCTTTGGAATATAAGAAACTCTGCCACTTTGCTACTGCATTTACCAAAAGCCTGTAGAATGAATTAAACATTCTCTTACCCTGGAGTGGGGACAAAGGGAGTGAGCGAGCCTTTGCTTCACTTGAATATACCTGTTTACCTCAGTTTAAGATCTCTCTTGAACCTTTCCCAGAGCCCCTTATTGTAAAAGTCATTCGTTGGCTGGAGCAAGATGGCAGAGGAGTAGGAGACCTGGATTTCGTCTGGTCTCAGGAATTCAGCTGAATAGGGATCAAACCATTCTGAACACCTACGA